AGAAAACCCCAAAATCCTCGGAAATCACGCCAAAATCACCAGCGCTTGGGAGCCCCTCGCCAACGGATCTGTCACTTSTGTTTGGGGACCCCGTTGCCACCCAATTCAAAGGGGTTTAAAGGGCCCTTCCTCCATGGACCGTGGCTTTTCCCTACATCCCACATGAAAAAAGGTGGGAAAAGAAGAAAAGAGGGATGAGATCCTCCCACCCGGAGAAAGGCACCAAAACAACGGGAAAAGGGCGAAAAACRGCAATTTTGGGGCCGCCGAGAGTCCCTGGGCTGCTGCTTTTCCTGCCCTGGCCTCGCAGGAGCTCCAGCRAAAGCAAAACGTCGGAATCAGGGTGTTTTTTCCAGGAATTGGGTTTTTTTTTCTGGGAATTGGGGTGTTTTTCCACAGAATTAGGGTGTTTTTCCATGGAATCGTGTTTTTCCAAGGAATCGGGCTGTTTTTCTGCAGAATCGAGATTTTTTTTCAGGAATCAGGGTGTTTTTCCACGGAATCGGGATGTTTTTTCCATGGAATCCCCGTGTTTTTCCATGGAATCCCCRTGTTTTTCCATGGAATCCTGGTCTTTTTCCACGGCGCCCTCATTCCCGCTGGATTTGGACAGCTCCACTCTGTCACCGGTTGCTTCGCATCCCACATGGAAGCTCATGGAAGAGCAAAACAAGCCCCGGATCCAGATGGCGAGTGCTCCCGGAGGCCAAAACCTGGCGCAGACGGAGAACCGGATCCCGCTCCTCTTCCCCACGGATACCTGCGAGTTTTGAGGCCGTTTTCTCCCTTCATTTCCATTATCCCTGGAATCCACAGCTACAGAGGGGCGATTTTGACCTCGAGCTTCAAAATTTCCACAATCTAGTACAATTTTTTCCTCTAAAAACAGTATATTTTTTATAAATAACTCTCATGTTATAAATGCACTTTGTGTTATCAAGCCACGGCTGCCAAGATCCCACGGGATACGTAGGGATCCCCAGTGTTTTTTTTCCCGGTTTCTCCTTCCTCTATCCACTTCCCGCTTTGCGGCAGCGCAACATCTTCCATTCCAAATTATATTTTTTATGCTTTTGGACCATTTCACCAATTTTTCCGGCGTAACCTCTGCTTAAGGATGGAGATCTCAGCTCAACGATGGGATTTGACACGCACAAAACGTATTTATTTCGTATTTATCACTGCAAAAGAGGATTTCCTCTGTCCAACCAAGCCCAAAACACAAACTTCGGGCCAAAAACAAGCTGCTTTGGCTCCCAATTATATTTTTTAGCCTACAAGGTATTTTTTAGCCCTGGATTTACCTTAAATTAGGAGGATAAATCACCATTTAAAAGCGTTGCCTTCACTATATGGACTGCAGAGCAACCCTGGATAAACAGGGTCCAAAAAGTTTGCATTTCGGCGTATCAAAATGACTTATTTTACCCGTTTCTGGCTTCATTTAAACTTATATTTAGCTAGCTAAATGAAAATAAAAAGACTTTAATGTCTTGTCTTGAAGAAATCATAATAAGCCTAAAATCCTCTTTACGCATGGTGGATTTTAATCCTCTGCCTCCCAGCTCCTTGTTGCATTTTGGCCTGATTAAATCCAAATTTAATGCAGAGAAAACCCCAAATTTAACGCTGTTGCTCTCCTGAACGGCAGAAATGTGAGCACAGTTCAGAACTTTATGGATTTTAGAGTCCATTGACAGGAGAAACTAAATTCCTAAAAAGCTCAATTTGTTGTAGGACCCTAGAAAACTGGGAAAAACACCCAATCTTTATAATAACTGTTGTTTTGGTTTGTTTTTTTTGCAGGTTATGGCACCTGGAGTACTGGGACCACCAATACTCAGGGTAAATTGCGTGTATATATTTATATAAAACCAATCTGGGAGTTTTATTTTAACGGAATCATTTGCCTGTTTTAAGCTGCGGCTATCAGAGCACTGAAAATATTGCAAAGTGGCAAAAATATTTATTTTATCCATATAATTTTCATAAGTAGCTGCTGGAAATACCACCTTCTGTCTATCCTAACCCATGCAAAAAGATTCRTAATATTTACAAGTGCTGCCTGGGATTCCTCTAGATTTAATTGTGAACTTCTGACGTTGATGCTTTGTTGCTTTTAATGCCAAAATCCTCTTTTTTTTTTTTTTGTCCCCTTTCAGGTACCTATGCAACCAACACGACCAACTGGCAAGGTAGGTGTTAAACACACCGCATCATTGATAAATGCTCAGCTCTTTGATAAAATATGGGGGTAATTAACCCCAGTTTGAATCAAGGCGGCTGCTTGGGGCTCTTTTTAACTCTTTTCCCGAAGCTAAAGCCTTTGATCCTTTAGAAAATAGCAATTTTGGGTCCTCCTGGGGACAAATCCAATGTTGCGCCACACGTTGGGCTGTAGATTGAAACCTCCTGAGTCAAGTCGTGTAAAAATAAGCCTTTTTTTTTAGTTTCTTCTTCCATTATTTCTCTCTTTGTAAAGCCCAAGGCGAGGACTAAACCACCCTATTGTGTAAACACGGAACAGAAGGGTGGTCCCTGCTCCCTACAGCCTGAATTAAACCTGCAGAGAACCTACAGCCTGAATTAAACAACAACAGCAAATTAAAACAACAGTCGCCAGATGGAAACAGGCGGAAGGAAGGGGAAAACACAAGGACAACAAGGCAACAGGCGCAATAGGCAGCGGTCCCGGCAGCCTTAACTGATGATAATTTTAGTTTAGGCACCATGGACAAGGAGAATGTTCTTTATTTCTCAATGTTTTGTTTTTTTTTCTGGTTAAAATTGCATAAAATTTCCATAATTTCAGTCATTTGGGGCTGGGTATGTCCTTAGGTGCCCGATGCTGTRATTCTTGCCCCTGTTTTTGTTGGTCCAGACCACGCAGGCGGCTTGGGCTCACAAAATCCATCACCAGGTGCTGAATCCCTTCCCAAATCCATCCTAGGACCAGTAACCTGCGTTTCCTATGGATTAAAGRTGCTGAATTCCTTCCCAAATCCATCCTGGGATCAGTAACCTGCGTTTCCTAGGAATTAAAGGTGCTGAATTCCTTCCCAAATCCATCCTGGGAGCAGTAACCTGCGTTTCCTAGGAATTAAAGGTGCTGAATTCCTTCCCAAATCCATCCTGGGAGCAGTAACCTGCATTTCCTATGGATTAAAGGTGCTGAATTGCTTCCCAAATCCATCCTGGGAGCAGTAACCTGTATTTCCTAGGGATTAAAGGTGCTAAATTCCTTCCCAAGTCCATCCTGGGACCAGTAACCTGCGTTTCCTAGGGATTAAAACCACTGGAAAGATCTTAAAACCAGTGGAAAACCCTTGAAATTTGAGGGTTGAGCAAGAAATTTCTGTCATCTTTCCAGGTTTTCTTTAGGGAGCAGAGCAACCTGGCAGCATCCGAACCTCCTTCCGGAAACGTGCGTTTTTCTGCTTGTTTTTCTTCCATTTTTGCTAATTTTCCCAATTTTTCCCCCTTTTTTGGCCAGGCTTTCTTTAGGGAGCAGAGCGACCTGGCAGTATCCGAACCTCCTTCCGGAAACGTGCGTTTTTCTGCTTGTTTTTCTTCCATTTTCGCTAATTTT